TTATGAGTGTTTGCACGTACTATGGTAAAACCCTATTGATAGTTAACCGTATTACATTAAGTAAACATGGAAGTCAACTTTTTCTCAGGTTACATTTTTCTTATTTATGTTACATTTTAAAGTTTTTCGACGAGTGGACTTCTTAAAAGTTATCAAATATTTATCTAAGACTGTGACATCTTTCTGTGTTCCGCCTAAGTTGAGGAGTATTGCTGAAGTATTGTACGCCATATGTTCTACCTATCATGTTCGTGTACGCTCAGATTCATGTTGAGGGAATATCCTAATTGTTTGTGATTAGGAATTACCATAGGTGACAGCCAAATGTGATATATATATATATATCGACAGGTTACAATCTTACTACTTGACTCACTAAAATATTCATCCAAACACTAATGGTAAGAAAGTTAAATGTCTGTTTTGTTATACATAAATTTAAGAGAACCTATTTTGTGCGCTGATAGATTGTTTAAAAGAAATAAAAAAACACTCAGTACCAGAATTTGCTATATTTCTTTCACAAAAAAAAAGAAAACGAAATTCGAAACTATAAAAGAATGAAAGATGATTTACAGAGAGAGAAAGGAAGATTATAGAAAAGCATAAAATAATGTAAATAATAACAATCGTTTAAAGATTGCATTCACATGATCAAATAAGTGTACGCAATCATAATAGTGATGATAATGATACGAGTATACAAACTGGATTGTAAAGAAAGAAACATAAAAACAATCAATGTGAGAGAGAATTTTTGAATAACTTTTATATTTGAATAAGTTAATGTTAAAGCTGATAAAATAAATCTAGAAAAAGAAGAAAATGAAGATGATTGGTAGTGGACGAAAGAATACCTTTTAGTAAATGATATATATATATATATATATGTATATATATACGCCGGATAATCGGCATCCAAAATTTGAAATGAACCAGAAGCGTCAGGTGAAAAAGTATTATTTACAATTCAAAAAAGAAATGTTTTACCACGTTGGTTTATTGTACAGTAAATATATATATATATATATATATATATATATAAGAATGAATTTTTTGGTTCCAATAAGCAAAATGACACTTCTGTTTTCGATTTATAATCGAATGCAACTTTGGTCTACCTTGTATGATTGTAAGTAGTTAACGATTGAATTGTAAAATATATCCGAATATTTCATTACAGACTTAAAATCCGTAAATAAACACATACACAGAACAGATGAGACGTGCACACAAATGAAGCATTACAGAAATTCGACCGTATCAATAAAAAAATGAAGCCACAATAATGGCGATAATAATCTAATATGATAATTGAAAGAATCCGTTTTTTTTTATATATTTTCGCTTATTTTTCAAACTGTTCGTAATTTGGGTAGGTAAACCTTTTAATACATGCATATTATAAATAATGATAATAATAGTAATAATCCATTAAACCGTCTATATTTTTGTAAACAAACAGAAAGCATTGTAACATATATGAAATATCACTATAACTGTATATAGTTCAATGAATCCGTGGATTACAATAAAAATGTCTTAGATAATATGAGATCAATTGTACAATTATGAATATATAAGATGAAGGATAACGTTTGTTGTTGTTTATGTTAATTACTTGAAATAAGTAAACAATAAAGAAGCAAATTTATTTGAATATTTTTAAGACAATAATTGCGTACACGTCTGTAAATAAACTAATATTTTATTATGACTAACAGTATTCTGTATATTCCAACAAGCACTCAATTCAATTGTTCGTCAAATATAATGTAATTACAGTTTTCCCAAACTATTCTCTTCTCCATAAAATAACAGGAAAACTCATCTATCTCATCATTAAAATTCTTTTTTGTTTCTTTGTGTATTATTCATGTGATGCATTGTTGTGTGTATTTATTAGTTAAATGCAATTTATTCTCTGATGAATAATCAACGGTGCAAACAACAACAAGGATTAATCACATCAACTTGAAGGATAACAATAACAGCAACTAAGGAAAACAAAAAGACAGTTGTGGATATTGATGTCGACAAACTTTACTAATTAGTAAATAAATTATTGATTATTATCAGGATTAGGCGAGAATATTCTTCAGAGAGAGGGAGATGCAGAGAGAGTGGGAACAGAAAGATAAGTTATATAAAATATAAAAAAATGGCCAATGCTGGTGAATAAATAATCAACAGATAGAAAATACACAATTTAATTGATAATTTTATTTAATAACCTGACTGTATATGAAACCAAAAGACTGAATATACAGATATATATATATATGTATATATGAAAGTATTAATCAGATCAATGATTGCATCGTTTCATGGAGAAACAAATAGACGCATACATACGTATATATGTATATGCATATGAGTATATTTATTTATATGTACATGTACGCATGATGAATACATATCAAAACAAAAAATGTAGATAAAACAATCAAATCACATTTCAAATAGGTATGAAACCATTGTCTGGACCGAGTCGAACTCGTACCGGTGACGACAGATACACATAACCGTTGGATGATAACGACAATTTATCCTGATTACATGATACGATATTATTATTATCATTAAACCGAATCAATTTAACTTCATCATCCACACCATCGACATTTGTCTCAGTGACAGATTTCTCTTTCAATTCACAATCTTCACCTCTATCGTCAACATTCACATTGCATGTCTCTTGCTCTTCATTATCATCATCATCACCATCTTCTTCTTCTTTCAAATATTTCAATTCAACTTCAATATCCAAATAACTGATTAATAAACGAATGAATAATGTTTGTGGTCGAACATTTTGTAATAATTCACGTGGATCTTTACTATTTGATGAACGCATTAAGTTTGGTGCAATCACAGTGGCTAAATTACGTGCATCCATTAATGATTGATTTGAATGTATTGGTTTGGATAGATGCTGTATAGATAGAACATTAACAATGAGATGTGAAAGAAAATAAACACAATAATAAAAGATTAACTGACGGAAAACAAGATGATGCAAATAAATAAATAGACAAAAAATCATTAATACCAAAATAAATGACTGATTAACTTGTGAAATTTAAAATACCCTCAATATTTGTTTATATCTGAAATGCTAAAAATATATTCATTCTATTGTCCAAAAAAAAACAAAACCAAAGTCACTACAACATTCATGTTTTATGAGAATATTCATCAATATTTGAACGAATTGTTAGACGATAAAAATTGGACAACGAGTGTATATAAGAGATATTATTTGTGAAACTTGTGTTTGAAATCATTTTAGATAATTCCAACATTTCATCTAGTTCTTTTGTCTGAACTTCTGTAGGGTAACCCATCATAAACATTATCAATACAATATAGAAAACATTTAACAATCATATCAAGTTTACACTAAATATTTATCTAATTATATTCAGATATTGATTTTAGTGAGTAGGATCACATAAGTCGATTGTAAAAAATAAATGAATTTATGCACGTGTAGGTGTAAATTTATGTTATTACTAGTTGCTGATAGTCGGTGAACGAATTTCAATCACTTGTTTATGAAATGTAAACATAAAAGTACAATTGTCAATGGATTTTTTAAAAAGTTGAATGTGTGAATAAATTGAAAATTATCACATAATTGTGATGGATGTATAAAAATATTAAAATTAATTAATTACCGTTCGACTGAATGTTATACATGAATTAAACAAGGTGGATAGAGATGAGATTCAACTACTTTTCAATGGTCATTTGCCTTGGGGTGGCTAGTTGAATATCATCCTTTTCTGGAGTATTCTGGCCCCATCAAAGTTGATTTTGTATCCTCTGTCTAACGCATGTAACGCTATGGCCGGCTTATTCTCTAATTTTTTCCAGATCGACCGAGGTTTTTGGGACATGTTCCGAACGCTGTGTTCCTTCAACCTCCATCAAGATGTTTCATCCACAAAAACTGGATTGCATTCCTGATAACCGAACTTATAGACAACGTTCTGTTGTTCTTCTTGTGGAACTGTATTTTTGATTCTCACTAACGCCGATCTTATGGTATCACTGGCTCGAAAATAAACTTTTATATCATATTTCTTTAGAATCCTCCTTATTTCTTTCGGTGATTTTTTTAACGACATTGGTGTTCTACTATTCTATCTGTGCATACTCTAGTTGAGTTTTGCTTTTATTTTGAACAATCTTCTTTAAAAACTCTTTCAGATAATTGCTGAACGTAAGTGTCGATCAAATTCAATTGAATTCAGTCTGTTGGTCTTTTTTCTCCGTAATAGGATTGTAGTGTGTCGACTTACTGCGTGTTCTTAAGCTCGGTAATTAGCTCGTCTAGACAATCGTTACAAACAAGCGTCTGACGGTTTATAAATCAGAAGGTGAACTCGAAGTGATGAATACGTTTATTTGGGACACACCACAAAGCGAGGCGGAGAAGCAGTGAATAAAAGAAATGGAGTGACGTGAATTGGAGAGATGGAGCATGACTAAGAGTATATATTCACACAAATATAAGGCAGACACGCGACAGGCGAAATAGGCACACATGAATAAAAGCGACGAATAGTTGACAAGGTCAAATGACAAGTGGAACACGTCATGTGAGCTCATACAAACCAGACAATAATAAGAACGAATGGTACATATAAATTGTTGCAATACAAATGGCTTGGTTAAATAAACTAATCGAAAGGGCTTAACCAAATTAAATGTAAGCGAACTGGAATATATGTGGAGGCACTCCTCTTAATTAAATTTTTCACCATTGTAAACTTCGTACATTTAGCATGAGACAAACAGTAATCTAAGTATCTCTTAAAATATGTTGATTTCCAAAATAAATTAGTTTTCAATTTATTTTTATTTTTTTTTCAGACCAAACTTGCTAGTTTGTGGTCAGTGGATTCTATCGCTTTAATTTTAATTATGATAAGAATGGCTGGAAGAAACGTTGGAACTTCCTAGAATTTCAATTGCTGAAATGATTCCAGACACAATTTTCACAAATATATTGATAGTTGTAAATGAGCTATGTGATGTACAGAACTAAAAATCTATTAGCCATTCGGAACGAAATTATGTGGAACCATAATTTTCTAGATACCTCATTTAGATTCAAGATAGCAGCATTTGGATTTTTATGCGAAATTATTATTATTATTATTATTTACACTTATTCTGTGCATTTCCTTTTGAGAGTGAATTTTGGTCGGAACAAATATTTGTGCACAGACCTTTTTAATCTCATATGGTTTATAATGGTATTAAAGAGATTTCTTACTCAATAGTTTGACAAAATCGGATCTAAAACTAAACTTTACAAGCACCATAAATCCGAGTTCTGTTGAAAATCTGAGTAGTCATAAAAAAGTTTAGTGAAAAATCCAATTTGCATTACATTCAATGTGTCTATTGATGATATGATAATCAACATTGTTGTGAATACCAAAAAAATTTATTACGAAAATGTAAATAACGAAAAGGTGGTCAAAATAACATCCGAAGGAAAGTCTGTTCACAGCATGTGAATTATTAGGTCACTCAACAATATGAAATGTAAGCTAATGAAGATCAATACAATTCTGTGTACGTTAACTAGATTGAAAAAAAAACGATACTGAAAATTTGTTAAAATGAAAAATTAACATGCAACATGAACGGTTTATTGTTCAAGTGATAATACACAACACAGCAGGGATGATAAAATAACTTTCTACGATTGTCTATACACTATCAGATTATCATAGTGAAAGGAAAGGCAGATGAATTATTATTGTTTCGATAAAAATCATGAAACTTAAATCATATAAAGTTGATGAACAGTTGTTTGAAATGAATGAGTGAACGATATATATATATATATATATTCAGTTTTTATCCCTTATTACATCAAATACCATTTACTGGAGTCAGTTGATGACTGAATAGTGATCAGTGTCATAAATTTATCCAGTCCGTAGTGCTATTCAAATAAAAATGTGGCATCTAGTCTAAGTGAATCGATACCAAATGCATTGTGTTGAGATGTTACGTTATCTCGGGAGTCTTACCAGTGCTAATGGCCTGGAGACTGACGACATCTCAGCTTGGATACAGAAGGCTCGATTGGCTTTTGCCAACTTGCGCCACTTACGGAGTAAGCGAGATATCCGTTCGCTAATCGAAGGACGAGTGTACTGAGCAGTAGTTCACTCCATCCTACTTTATGGCTGTGAAACATGGCCATTCAGAGTAGGAGATATTCGTAGGTTGCTGGTTTTCAATTATAGGTGTCTCCGAAAAATTGCTCGTGTATCATGGGACAACCGAGTAAGCAATGCTATCGTTAGGAAACGGGTCCTGGGTAAGAGTGACAGATCAATAGATGAAATATCGGAACTTCATCAGTCGAGGTGGATGGGACGTGTATGCCTAACAACCGACTGCCTCATCGAGCTGTTTTGCTGTGTAGAAACAGTTTGGAAGAAAGCTAGGAGAAGCCAAACCAAAACATCGCAGAAATCCATGAAGTCACCTAACAAGTGGACTGAGTCATGTTGGTAGATGTAGACTACCTAGTTGGGGTCCGCGAGATGGCAGTAATCGATGGTTAGAGATCCCAGATGACATGGCTGAAAACCGTTTGCAATGGCTCAGGTGCATTCATTTTTTGTGTTCTCCCAAATCCTAACCTTCTGAATTCCTCATCACATTTATCTCTTGCTTTTAAATTTATTTCACTAGATTCTACTTCTTGAACAATATCTTCAAACCTTAATCTCTCCGATTACTGCTAATACTTCAACTACCACTACTACTATGGGATTTCAATGGACAATATCATCTCTGTGCTAATGTGGTATGGCAAACTGAACTGATGTACTTATGTATGTACAAAGTTTTATGTTCTTGACTGATGACTGACTGATGTTAGGTAGTTTAAGCCAGTCGATAACCGAACAAGTCTTCATTACACAAGGTGCCCGATAAACTTAGTAAAATTACTAAATTTTAAAAGGTTTGATTATATCTGTTGTGTAACATTTCCATCTATCCACTGGCTTCAAAATTATGCAGTCGTTTTAGGAATCACTCAAACTCATCGCTATATCATATTTTTATCCAATCTTTTCTGAACTTAACTCAGTATCAAACAATATTTCCCCATTGAGAAATCAAACATTTTCAGTCTATTTTTTAACTTTCAATTCCCATATTTCATCTTAATACAATTAGTCAATGTCAGTTCTCTTTGATTTTTCCTATCAAGAAAGTAAGTTCTAGCTAAAAAAGAAGAAAAACGATATTATATGAATGCATTTATTTATTGATGCATTGATGAATATTTAGAATAAATTCAATTTTTTTTTTATTAAAATAAGAATGGTTTATAAATATTTGACTTGAAATAGTAGTAGTTTGTTCATCTCTAACTAACCAAATAACTAACTAACCAAATAACTAACTAACGTAGATAAAAATAAAAACAGTCGAGGCGGAAAATTGAAATCAAACATTGATAATATTATTAGAAATATGGAATAAAAAATATATATTAGCATGTTGTTGTTTGATGAATAATTTATAAAAAAAAAAAGAAGTGACTCATAACTATTTTTTTTCTACTAGATTATATCGAAAAAAAATAAATAGAAACTAAGGTTACCATTGAGAGTGAAAAACAAAACGAAAAATTATCAAATCCAAATTCAACTATTGAATAAAACAAGTGTGTATGAAGGTTAGCAAGGAATAGAAACGAATTATTGATGATTCAGTGAAATACGAAACAATCTTCACAATGATGTCAACTTTTTTTTTTCTACTTCAATTTACACTTTCACACGGAAAATCTTATATTCCAGAAGTTTGCAAAACTACTCGATGCATTAACAATCACAGGTTACGGTGAAATGGATACACAGAAATACTTTAGCATTTGTTAACTTACACCACTTGTGGCCCATTTATCTACCTACTATTTGTAGGAAGGATGGAATATACTGCAAAACAGTTTATAAGTATAAATATGGGAAAAGGAGTAATAAGACAGAACAGATGGAAAATATTCAGTCGAAGGTGTATTCAGCGAAATATGTGTGGAGGTTAGTTAGTTAGTTAGTTAGTACGTATGTACATAAGTTCGGGTTGCCATACCACATTAGCACAGAGACTCAGATGTCAAATCAAATCCCATAGTGATAAAGATAGTAGAGGTAATAATGGTGATGAAGAAGACCAGGGTTCGAAGATATTATTCAAGAAGTATAATTCAGTGAGATAAGGTTAGAAAGACAAAGGTAGAGGTGCTGACGATTCCAGAAGATTAGAATTTGAGTGAGCTCAACGAATGGATGCACTTGCGCCATTGCAAACGATTTTGAGCCATGTCATTCAAGGTCTCTAACCATTGGTGACTTTGGTATCGCGGACCCCAACCAGGTAGCTTACATCTACTAACATGACTCAGTCTACTTGTCAGTGACTTCATGCATTTCTGCCATGTTTTGGTCTGGCCGCCCCTAGCTTTCTTCCAACCTATTCCTATATCCCAAAATATAACTCGACGAGGTAGTCTGTGGTTTGGCATACGCAGCACATGTCCCAACTACCTCAACTGTTGAAGTTCCACCACTTCATCTATTGATCTGCCATCCTTACCTAATGCTCGTTTCCGAACGACAGCATTGCTTACTCGGTTGTTCCACGATATACGAGCAATGCTTCTAAGGCATCTATGATCGAATACTAGTATATGTGTGGAGGATTATTGTTTGCAATACAATTGTATTCAATTACTGACTTCAGTAATCTCATTTTTATTCTTTTATTTTGTGATTTTTGTCTACTGTTGATATTATTAATGTACATATCCGTAAGTTCACACGTGTTAGATATTCAGGTCTCTATTAGATTAATCGATTTATTGAGTGGTAAAACATGTCCAGTCTTTAGCATTAATATGTTTGACAAAAGGTCTTAGGAACCCGCTAAGCCGTTAATCTTCAACTATCACTTCATTAACATTTTTTAAATTCATCGACTGAAACTTAATAATTTCACATCGCTAGTGATTATAATGTTAAACACAATAATTGAAATTTTTAGCATTGATGTTCAGATTACTTCCTATCGTAAGGTATAATAGTTAAAGTATTCTTTTAAAGGCAATAAGTCAAACCAGACAGATAGATCTATATTTTAAAATATTATTGTATACTTGTGAAGTAAGAAAATGCTTTTGAATAACTCTGTTTATATGTTGAAATCTAAAATTGTAAACTTTTTTCAATTTTAAATCATAAACGTGTGAAAAGACTTACTTGTAAAAGTAGAATTAAATATAATAATGATCGTCTTGGCAATGGATTTAAACATCTAACTAAACGACAACATTTTTGAATCGGATCTAAATCTGTTGATGAATTATTATTATTAGTTATTAAATCTTTTTCTTGTAATTCATAAGTTTCCGCTTCACAGGCCGCTTTCATACATATTGATTGTAGTTCAACTGGAATAAGAGGTTGACTTAATTCACGTAACCATAATTTCAATAGTCCTGCAGCTAGATGAGATTCCATATTAACAGAATTTTTATTATTATTATTATTATTATTATTGGTAGTAGTAGTAGTAGTAGTAGTGGTATTAGTTGTTGTCGATGACAACAATGAACATGAACGTTTAATAATACTAGATAAAGTTCTAGGCCAATAAGCAGTCGGTGTAAGTAGAACATATTCAGCCGGTGGTAAACTTAATGGTTCTGGTAAAATTGGCCAACTATAATCACCAGTTAAATAATTCCAATCTAATGTAGATGATAATACTAGAGAATTGTGTTTAGATTTAGTTGAATCCATAATATGAAAAGAATTTTGATTATTTTCTGCTTCAATAACTTGTATAGAAGTCGACCAACCGGATGGAGGTGGACGATGAACTAGAAAACGACTAGATGCATCACAATCATTGATATGATTGTTCTCATTCTGTTGTTGTTGGTGTTGTTGTTGTTGTTGTTCTGAATCACATAACTGAACAACTCGAAATATTTCAAATAATTTCTCTAGTTGACAACGTACTTCAACAAGTACATCCATATCTGGTGATAATCTGAATGGAAAGAAGAAAATAACAATAGATTGAATCATTCAATCTAGACTAGATAAGTACACATAATGTATGCCAACTATGTAAGATTTTCATACTGGATGTATAGAATATTTGATTTCGATACAATTTCTATGTCAACATATCATAACTGATAGTAGAAGTTAGGTTGGAAGAAATATTTTTTAAAAATAAAACAACGGAAAAACAAGACTTCAAATAACTACCAAAGACAAATGGGTGAGGTCGCGCAAAATCCCTAGATCAATCAGAGTTAGACGTTAACACCATTGGATGCCGGCCCAGTGGTCCGATGGTTAGGCGTTCACGCACAATACCGAAGGTCCCGGGTTCGAATCCTACGAGGTGCAGGAGTCGTGGATGTGAACTTCTGGTAAGTCCCATACCAGGAAGAAACGGTCGTCCAGTGCTTCCAGGTTTCTAATGGTGGTCTAACAATGATTGGTTGATGATTTCAAATGTGTAAAAACACAAACCAACAAAACTCTGCCCAAAAAAAAATGATATTTAAGCATAACATCATTTAAAATTTGTTTCCAGTATGATATCACGTATTGATTGAATCGTTTATTAGCAATGTGTTTATTAGACTGTTACAAAAATGTAAAATTTGGTAGAACAGTGAGAAGACGTAATTGATCTGAAAAATGTGATGTATTTACGCTATACATTTCGAACAATCTGGTCACACATATACCTTGAATTTACCGTGGTGATCTTTAAGCCATTGTATGGCTTAGGGTAATATGACAATTTCCTACCCTTTGTTATTCTTTTCATATTACGTTGATTTTCTCTCTCCTTTAGAATTTGCAATTATCACCTTATGTCTATTTGAACTTTTATTTAATTGACCTTTTATTAATCTTCATATAAAATGTCTTGACAAGTAAATATGTGTAATCAGATTGTTCGAAATGTATAGTGCAAATACATCACATTGTTCAGATCAATTACGTCTTCTCCACTGTTCTATCAAAATTTATAAAAGGGACCAATTGTTTTTTGGAAATGTCAATGCTTTATCAAGTAACTTTAATAAAATGTATGTGTTTATCTACAGATTAAATAGAATCAAATGAAAGAATGTTGTACATTAAGTAAAAATTGAACAGTTGTTATTGTTGTTGTTGATAATGGAACAATATTATTTACATGATGTAAACAGAAACTGTAACCGATAAGTTGACACCTTCAACATGGATCTGATCAATGAATATTGAATCACTCCTATAAAAACAAAACATGCATAGTATTCTAAAACATGATCACTGAAAAGTAGTAAATAACTTATATGATGAAGAGTAATTCACGCGACAGTCGCCTGTAAATCTATAGATAATGGAAATGTATAGATTCGCTTCATATATCAAATCTAGAAGTATATCGAAAATTCTAGGCAGAAATAATTGTTATTGTGGTTAAGGCTAAGTATGAAATTTCACATATATCATTTTACGAGTCAACACAGTTAATAATTACGTCTTACAAAAACTGTATTCTGTAAACTAATCTATGGGTTTTTTTTTCAATCTATAATGCAGATAGAATTTTACACGTTAATGACTGATGCATGTACAGATTGAGAGTTTTGGAGAGAAAATAAAAGAGGCTAATAGAAAGAGTATTTATTTGCTTAGAATTTACAAATCCACAGTGTAACAATTATTGAACTAAATTTATGAGTGATTATTTACTTAGTATTTAGTGTTCCAAATTTTTAAATGACTACATATATATTATTATTATTATTATTCTGATCAATATTTATGTGAACAAATGAGAGTAGTTTAGGTCGTGGCTTTGAATATACACAACCCTTATATATAACTAGGCACTTATTGTTAAACGTAAAAACACATGCATGTAATTCATCGTTTCACAAATAACTCTTGTTTTAAATTGATTTCTTTTTCTGAGGTGAATGATCGCTTGAGTAGTTAATTTTACGGAAGACAGTTAAAAAAGATGAGTTTTTTTAAAAAACTTTTTTCCTGTAGCAAGAGTGCTGAGATATAACAATTTCATTACAAATTGTGTCTGCCAAATCGATCGTTCATCAAAATCATGAACATTAGAGGAACTGAAAAAAACAGATAGATCTACTATATATGTGAAAAATACCTCGGGAATTACTGCATAGATTTGAAAACTTTTTGAATGCAATGTTTCTCATAAACCAACACAATTACTTCATTCTATTTTACTCACAAAAAGACAAGTAAAACAGTATAAGAAATAAAATTGTATCAGCTGTGTTGAGCACAACATTGGGAAGATCTTGTTACACTTACATATGCAAGAACACAAACGAACAATGCGATGAAGTGATACTAATTATCACTGGTATCAATGTATGCAGTCAACTGTGAACATAAAGTCGATTAAGAAAATGCTGAAATTCTAGATCCAGGAAATTTTAAGAATGTTAGAGAATTTCTGGAAGCATAAGATTTGAATCGATCAGCAATCAATAGACACAGTGGATTAGACCTAATTTATCAGTTCATTTGAAAAAGGTCATTGAAAAATTATGGTCAGAGGTCAATGAAATAAAACAGTCAGCAAAGACAATTAAACCTAATGATGACAATCAATCACAGACTGATTTCTGGTTCGTGGAATATAGTAAAAATCCGCAAGGAAATTTAAGATTCTGGATAAAAATGAGAATT